AGGTAAAGGAGTGCTATGTAACACTTATAGTGGGGATATGCCGACAAACATAATTTTACATTTTTCAAAATGAACCTTGAATAGCAAATATAAGCTTAATGTATGGAATATAAAAGACAAGGATGGGTGGAGAAGTGCAGGACAAAACCAAAATCATGTGTTTGTAGCTGAGGTGTTTCTGACCTAGGGGAGATGAGTTAAAGAAAAGGACAAGATACAGCATTACTTTGAATGAAATGCTGAAAAGCTTGGTGACTTACATGATATGCCCTGTTAAACATCAATAATATTTTATGCTAAACAGCCAAGTATCAGAATAGAACTGTATCTTGAAAACTAACTTTGATTTTGTGAGGGTGACTAGAAGCAGAAGGGATGGAAGGCTGTGGCTTCAGAATTAACAAAATACCCCGAAGTGAATGTGTTGGCCTTGGGAATTGAGGAGATCAAGCGTATTTGAGCATACAGTTAACAGGTAAAATGACAGTGGGTGTGCAGCACATCACAGTTAGTCATGAAGGGCAGTAGGGCATCTGTGCAGAGGTAGGCAGTAACTACAGAACACTAATAAACCAAAGTTTGGAACCTGGGATAGAGCCAGAGACAGAGATGTAGTCATAGCCTATTTAAAGAAAACCAGAACTCACTGATGTGGTGTTGCTTAATTCAGTCTTACCAAAAACTGTATTAAGGCAAAAATAAAAAATAAAAACAGAGAAATCTAGATATCCCTATATTTAAGAATAAGAAAAAATACAGCGTTTTCCCCAAATGAATAAAACCCATCAAATATCTAAGATGATGAACTCAAGGCCCTTGAGGGAAAGAAGAGTGAAAGAGACACAGATGTTTGAGCTCCCAGACTGTAGACTGTTTATATAGAGTGTGGTCTGGGGAGACATTATAAATGTGAAGATCTCTGGAAACCCCATCATTCTGATATTGGACAGAGCAGCTCTGAAGAAGAAGACAATATACACAAACTGAAGGAATTGATTTGGACAGAGCTCTTTGACAAAGACTTTAATGGGGACATATGCAGCTGGGTGTTATGAGGATCTGTCGAGGGCTTTACACAGGGGGCGGAACATTTTTCCTTACCTGGTAGGTAGCTAATTCTCTCACACTGAAAAGCATTGGCACAACAGTCAAAGATGACATGTACAGGAATACAGATACTATGTCAGCGAGTCAGAGAATCTATTCAGGGATAAATTACTCAAAAAAAAAAAAAACCCCACTGTCAATTAACTAAAAAACACATATATACTACTGCTTGGTTTTGAACAAATGAGTTAAACTTTATTGTATCTTGGACCATGTTTCATTTAGAATACCAAAGAATAAAGGGACAGATTAAAAAACACAGAAATTTGAATGTGAAATGTAAAAGCAAACTGCAGCTTGACCAATTACGCTACAGAATGGATTCAAGTAATGAGCAATGAATTCTAAATTCTCAGTTATAGAGATTTTTTCTATGCTAATAAAAGACCAACTTTATGGGCAAAACAATAGCTTTAAAAGGGTGATAAAGGAAGAGTAAATTTATAAAAAAATATTTTGTCAAGATCTTCCTCATCTCATTTGGCCAGGTTAAGTCATTAGCACAGAGTCTCATATATATTAGGGCTCAGTAGACATTTATAAAATTAATAATAAATACCTGGCATAGAACTACCAATGACTTTAGGATCTATATGATACCATACATACATAGTAATATGTTCAGTACTAAACAACACTAATGTTAGTGTCCATAAAGACATTACTTTCTGTTGAAGACAGTTTTCTCTAGTAGAAAACATGATCTACATTCATAAACATGTTTATCTCTAAATATATACCCACTTAAAATTTAATAGGAAGCATAGACTGATTTTTTACATATATACCAGTTCATGAGTGAAGCACACTAAGTTAGCGTACACTAGACCACCTTCTAAAAGGTTTTATTTTTAAGCTGATAAATTCTGTGTGTACTGTAGTAGAATTCAGAATATCACTGAGATAATTCTTGGAAAATTTCCCAACAACACAGTGGGGGAGTTCTGAAAGGACTTTTGGAATCCAAGGAATTAGTTTGAGAGTCAGACAGTATGTAATTAGAGTCAACATGTGCGGTTTGGCTGACATCAATGGTGATTTTCCTCACTCAGAAAGTCAAGATCTTATTTATTGAAATTTCCCCAAATTTTGCTGGGATATGCAAGGAAAAATAAAGATTTAAAGATATAAAGGAAGGGGGTAGTGAAAAGACAGACATACACAAAGCAATTTGAATGTGAAATTTAAAAATGAACCCCAGTTTTGACGTGTGATTTAGAGTGGATTCGAGTAATGATGTGGAAGAACACAGGAACCCCTAAAAATTTCCCTTCTCATATGGTCTTCTTAGAGCAGAATTTGGACAGTCCCCCAGCAACATTTGTCTACAGCTAAACCCAGTAGAGGTTTGACTCTGGCAGAAACGACACTGCAAACGTCCGAGCTACTTCACAGACATTTATGCCTACTTCTCTAATAAGGCTATTTTTCAGCTCACTGTCTTGCCTTGGGCAAGCACCATCAGAATTAACCTGCTAGCAACCCGAGTTAGCCATCCCAAATAATGGTTCCAGTGCCACAGGCAGAAATATTGAGACGCTTCTTCAAACCTCATAAAATAAAATCATAGCTTTATAGAAAGTTTAAATGATTATAGTTTGAAGGCCTTGAATCTAGAAATAAACACACTGCATATTTATTTTCCTGGATGGCAGTACAAATCATCTCCAATGAGTAACTATCAATTTACATCGTTATGGGTGTAAAAAAATAACTTTTCTTTGTTTCTCAGAGCATTAAGGAATGAATCAGTCTCTTACAATGATGAAGTATGGGGCTGGAGAAATGAAGCAGAGGTTAAGAGCACTTACTACTCTTGTAGAGGACTTGCCTTCAGTTCCCAGAACCCTTATCTTTGCCTCACAACTACCTATAGCTCCAGTTCTGGGAGATCCAGGGCCCTCTTTTGAATGCTACAAGCACAGGCACATATATGCAGGCACTCATGTATACACAGAAAATAAAAATTGAAATTAAAATATGAAGTATAATGACCGATTATCCTTGAATTTTTATGTAGCGTTAATTCATAAAGCATAATTTTAAGAGCTACTTAAAGGATGCCTTCTCATGTGTTTATTTTATTTGTTTGAACATCTCCTTTTATACCAGAAAGCATCTGCCATGCCCAGAATCCCTGATGTTTCTGTTTAAATTGTCCTTCAAGGGGGTTAATGTATCAGAGATTTCTTGACCAGACATCAGTTCTCTCCTTGTATAACAGCAGTATATTCAGAGCAAAGGAAAAGATTAGCCCATTGAAAACACAATAACTTTATTTACACAAGGCTGATTAGCCTTTTGCCCTTCAAAATTAGTAAAATTTTGCTATTGTCTGTGGCCATAAACTAGGTCAATGAACCTGATCTCAGAATTAGTATATATAATAACAACAAAATTAGCATCATATAATAAGCATCACATATAATAAACATCTTCATATAATAAGCATCACAACATTAATGCTTCATGTGTTTGTTGTTCATGTAGGTCAATGCATCAGTGGTCATTTGTACTTTAGACTAAGCTCTCACACATTTAAGATGTACTATGAGTAACATCTCCAGATGTAACACTGGATGAAAACACTTTGAATTGAATAAAATCTCAGCAATTATTGCAGATTTAAGAGAAAATATTTCTGCTGTATTAGCTAAATACTCATAAAAGAACAAGAAACCCCAAACTTTTGTTTTCACATATATTGAGAAAAACTTTCAAGATTTTCTAACAAATTATAACATTGGAAATTATGTTGAGAACCCAGAGAGTTGGACAAATAACAGAAAATTCAGGGAGATGACTCCTGGGAATTTAATTTCCATGAAACAACACGTGTACATGCATGGGCACGCACGTACGCATGCACATGGACACACACACACATATTTGAGAGGAAAAAATCTACTTTGACCTTAGCTAGATGCCTTTTTGTATTACAATTAGTTATTATTTTCTTAGCTTTTATTAATGTATATTTGTTATATAAAATGGTGGGCTTCTTTCTGACATTTTCATGGATGCATATCATGAACTTTGATCATATTCACCCCCAGATGTCTTTTTCTGACTCCTCACATTTCCTGCTGAATTCTTTCCTCTTTTCAAACAGTCCTACTTTGATATGTCATCATATCATCTATTACACATTCATAGATCCATCTAACAATTAATCATTCATCTGTCAACTTACTTGCCCATCCATCCATCCATCCATCCATCCATCCATCCATCCATCCATCCTCCCACTCATCAACCCACCCATCCATCCACCCATCCATGTAGGTTTTGCACATGAGAAACAACATGCAGTCCTTGTCCTTCTGAGTGTTTAGTGTCATTTTCAGGAGCATGCCTGCCTTAAATTCTTGACTCTTGGGTATGTGTATCTGGCACTCAGAATGTTCCAGAGCACGACTTTCAAATGCCAGGAACATATAGCTCTGCTGACATGTTTTAAAACTCAGAATTAAGTGTAGAAAATACTAATTCATGTTTTACTTTCCTGCTTCTTTAAAACATATCTTCAAGGGGTGAACATGTATATTCAGGATCTGTTAGCTCCTACTTCCAGATAGCCTAGCAGTATCTCCAACATTTCTGAATGTGTTAGCAACTGGACACTGTTCTAATTTATTGGTGAAAACACATTTAAAAACCAGCGTCAGAGAGTTTGTGGCTCCTAGGACTTTCTTTCTACTTTGCAAAGGATGAAATTACACATTGTGATGCTATCTACATAGTATATGAAAATAGTGTTATATAAAACCATCACTTCAGTTCTTCGCTAGTAAATTTTGCGATTATCAACCAAACTGTCTGCAAAGCATTTTGATAGAATTCTGAGGGGTTTAAAGATACAAATGGAGGAGAAAAGATCAGAGTGTACTTACCGGAGTCCTCAGTTCTGGAATGGCAGCTTGGTAGGTGAGGGGACGGCAGTCACGGGTGTTTGGCACAAGAACACAGGGCAGAAACATTGGTCCCAGGTCATCTCCATCTAGAATGTCCACCGTGAGGGTGGTAGTGGTTGTTCGCCTCTCATTCAGATTTTGTGCACGGTCCTGATGGGTGTAAAACAAACAAACAAACAAACAAGTAAACAACTGGAAGATGTAAATTATCAGGTACAATTTAGATTTATTAATTCTTTATTTCTCTTTAAATGAATGGTCAGTAACCTATTTAAGCCAAGTTTGATGTGGGGAAGTGGAAGGTGAACAGTTGTACGAAAACCTAGTTTTTTTTTTCTTTTTTTGTTTTTCAAGACAGGGTTTCTCCGTGTAGCTTTGTGCCTTTCTTGGAACTCACTTGGTAGCCCACGCTGGAATCAAACTCATAGACATCCGCCTGGCTCTGCCTCCCGAGGGCTGGGATTAAAGGCGTGTGCCGCTGCCCGGTGAAAAACCTAGTTTCTTAAAAGTACGTCTATAGTGGTATTTGCACTGCCCATGACCTTGGGCCATAAAGCCCGAAGGAGGTGCTTCTTGCTGTTGTGACCTCTTAAAAGGAAAGGGGGAGTGGTCAGAAGGCCCCTTCTTCCTGTTTCCTGTTTCCTGATGTGATCGAACTGCAAGGTGGATTCGCTCCTGGCCAGATCAGAGGATGACTTCAGCTATCTATTCAGTTTTGAATTGGTGAGTGTATTTCCTTAATTTATCCTAATAAATTTCCCTAATGCTCCTGAAGCAGACTCCCGTGGATTTCTTGCATTATACATCAGCACCACTAGTGTGACAGTTTAGAACTTATCATTGTATTGGAAAAAAATGACATGATTTTGTTAGGGGTTTCCTGTCTACTTGGGAGTTAGCTTCATTGAGTCACCCTTGAGACAGTGTGTAGAAAGAAGTCTAAGGTTGAATGAAGACTCTACTCTGGAAGCCTACAATCTGACAATGAATGTAAAAACTTGCCATCAGAGATGAACCAGGAGAAATAAAGCAATACACACCTATCGGGGCAAGAGTTGTGATTGGCAGTAATGTTTTCAATACATCTTTAAACATTTGAAGCAGATTTAAACTTAACTTGGCTTTTTAAATTGGTAGGACATGGATTTTCCAGAATATGCCACTTAAATTGAAAATCTTGCAGACAATTTACTGACTATAATTTTTGTGATTGTGGAGAGAGGGCATGGTATAAAAAGACCAAAAGTTGGAATTATTTTGAGATATCTTTAGTCATTGTCTCCTCCTCCTCCTCCTCCTCCTCCTCCTCCTCCTCCTCCTCCTTCTTCTTCTTCTTCTTCTTCTCTTCCTCCTTCTCCTCCTCCTCCTCCTCCTCCTCCTCCTCCTCCTCCTCCTTCTTCTTCTTCCCTTTACTCCTCCTCCTCCTCCTCCTCCTCTTTTTCTCCCTCCCTCCTCCCCACCTCCTTCTTTTTGTTTGTATTTTGATGCAGGGTTCTCTGTGTTGTGGCCCTGGATGCCCTGGAACTTGATTTTTAGACCAGAATGGCCTTGAGCTCACAGAAATCCAGTTGCCTCTGCCTCCGGAGTGCTGGGATTAAAGGTGTGCACCACCATGCCCTGCTTCATTAGTCTTCTTAAAACTAACTTATTAATGTCTGATTCTGACCTAAAATCTTTGTTACTATGACATAAAACTTTTGGAATAGATTAACAGTAGATTACTTGCTTCCACCTACCCCAAAGCTAAAATGGTATCAGATACAATATGAGGCCTATAGCAGAGATCCTGCACTTGACTGCAGCCTACTACTCCCTGGATCTCCCCATTGATATGCTTGATTTTATATCATTCTGTTGTGACTATAAAAGTCCATGTGACCTTCCCTACAGTGGATTATGTCATCAGAGAAGCCTGAATGACTGCTTCCAGGTCACAATCTGCCTTTCATATTTAGCTCAGAATAAATTATATCCTGTTTCTTTGTTACAAGAGCTGTGCTTTGTACATCACTGGGAATAACTCAGACTACCCATATATCCCACGTCAGCATCTTTGTTTTACTAACTTGTTATATTAGTATAAAAACTTGGCTATAAAGAAGCATCTTGGGTGGTTTGGGGTTTGCTCAGCAAGCCTGAACTTCATGGGCATGTGTCTCTGCCTTTAGACCTCTGATCTACTTAAACCTTGTAAAATCCAGATGGCCTAAAATAAAGGTCTATTTTTCCTCTTCCTAGAACACTTACTCCAGGAGCCTTGCAATTTCAGTTCCTTCTCTGCTCCCGTGAGATGTAAGTCTTTTCTATATCTCTCTAGCATAAGCTTGCTCCTTTCCAATGGCCCAGAAAACATTCCCTTGTAATATTATGCTTAAGGAATTTGGGTTTTCTACTCATTATCCATGGGAGGATAGGAATAGAACCTTCTAAAAGACTTGGTCTGAATTCTAAAATTTCTTATTGTCATATGCATAGAAGAGTTTATTTTTCCCATGAAAAGGACCATTATTAAGTATATGCTTTCCAACTTCCTGCCTCAACCCCCAACACACATGCCAACCACCCTCTAGCCCTTGTGATATGGACTTTTTTCTTTTTTGCTTTAACAGTATCCTTTAATAGACCATCCTGAACCTATTTAATTTTGCTTTGAAAATTCATTGCTACTAACCAATATCCAAGTTTATTTTCCCCCAGTGGCTACTTAATGTCTTTTTTCTGTTAATATATCCACAAGAACATTCTGCATTTAGTCATAATGTCTCTTGACAACTTCTCAGGTTTTTGTTGATCTTGGCAGTATTCAGGACTAAGGTCATATATTTTGCACAATGTCTTTAAATGTAAGTTATGGGATTTGGGAAGGAAGACTGCAGAGGTAAAGTCACCCTTTCGTCACAGTATGTCAAGGTTGTATTTATTAATAAGACTATAATTTTCACTACATAGTAAATGTTGTATTTGTCAGGTTTCTTTCTCACATAAGGAATGGGAAATGACTTCATTAGAAAGCTACTGTTTATCTAAAGAATGTTTGTTGAGGGCATACAAGGAAGAAATTTTAGATGAATCAGTTCCTCCTGAGGTATCCAATGAGGATGGTGGTGGTGGCATCACCACCCTTGGGAGCTATCCTGGAGAGCCACTTCTGTGTGCTCTATTCCCACATCAGTACCTGGCCAGCTGGCAGTGTGGCACAAGTTACAGGGAAAACAGCACTGTCAACTGTGAGTGACAGAAAGAAAGAAAATTCTCTGCATACATTTGATCTAATTTCAGTAGGTTTGTTTCACTCACTGAAAGGAGAGGATGCAACACAGGAGCTAAAAAGAAAAGCTCTTTCATTATATGTCCTAATTTACACTTTTGACTTCTCTTTTCCTCCTTAAAAACAAGGTGTCTTCACATTTTATTTTAAAATGGGATATTTCATTAACTGAGAGGACTGTAATTACTATTGACAGAAATAGCACTTTAAAGCATTTTCTGAGTTTAACGACTACTCTATAACCTGAATCATGTGTCATCCAAATTTGCATGAGACAGTTCTCATCACAGTGATGCTGAATAACTGGCTGATCAAGGATAACTGCTGTCACAGGATGGACTCTGGCCCTGTGGGAACAGAAAGCTCACACAAATAGGAACTAGAGATCTCCTAGTCCACATGAAGACGAAGGGAAGGCAATGTGAATGCATAACAAGAAAACAGCCATCTTTAATAAGGAAAGAGCTTTCCCCACCCCTGAAACAAGCCCTGGCCAATTTTGATCTAGAGTTTTAGACTCCAAACTACTAATAAAATAAATTTCTATTGTACAAGGTATCCATTCTGTGGTGTTTGTTATTGAAGCCAAGATGGCTAACATAACTGATTAATTTATGTTTCCTCAACTTGTATTGTTATTTTCTATATCATATCTACTTCCTAACACTATGTATTTGTTAACATTAACATGACTCAGAAAAGCACGATACCCTTGAGAGTGATGCGGGTGTATCTGACATATGTTGGGCTATAGCTCAGAGGAGTGGGATACAGGAAAATCATCTACTACCAAAGCCATGGTAGGCCTACATTCTCTGGGTTCTTTTCTCATGAATTCAAAGAATGAAATTCAGTGACCAAGGATGAGTGAGTCTTAAAAGAAAACTTTATTATAGAGTTATAGGTAAGAGCTTAAGTGAAAGACAACTGAGCCCTTGTCAGTAGAAGTGGGTACCCAGAAATGGGAAACCACTGAGTTGTTTGAAGAGTTTCATGGGACTTGAGGCAGAAACTGGGATGAAGTATGGAACAGGGAAGCAGGTGACCTGGTTCATTCAGTCTGCCCATCCATGAGGTATCCCAGTGCCTGTCAGTTTCTATCATGTCTTCACATGTAGCTTCTGGTCAGAGGTGTTGATTTAGGGGAAGTTATGGCATAAATCAGACCCTTCTTACAGCATTTCTACCTTTTGATCCTGACAGTAGCATTTCTAGCTTTTGACCCTGACAGAGCTGCTGACAGAACCAAGGACCTTTCTGACTGCTAACAAAGGACCAGAGTCAAAACTATTTGCTTTTTGCATTCCTGACCTGAAACTGACATAAATTACCCTAAAGCATGATCAGTTTGCTTCTCCTTTTCAAATCAAAAGCTTTTATTATTTTCCTTAAAAATGAATCATCCAAAAACCTTTAGGTTTAGCTAATTGTAGGTATTACAAGTTCTCATTAGCGAACCTGTAGAAAATTTAAAAAATGGGCATGTATCTTCAACACATAATTATACATCAAAGGCAAAAATCTTATCATGAACTAACAAAGACCAGAATGAAGGTGAAAAAACACCCATGGACAAGATAAAGAAATGTGAGGAATGACTGTGCCTTAGAGAAGGAGTGTACTCATTTCTCCAAACCCCAGTCTGGGGAACAGGTCCACACATCCTCTGGAACCCTGATGCAGTTTGGAAAGCTAAATTTCCCCAGCCTTTACATTCTCATTACCCTCCTCTTTCCCCACAGCTACCAAGATTCCACGCCCTGTGATCCCAACAAAACTCAGGGAGAATCAAAATGAATAACAGCGAAAGCTCATTGTAACTACAGACCACGGCGGGATTGGTGTGACTAGACTTCCTGTCCACGCTTATGGGTGATCACACAGACTGGCTCCCAAGTCCTTAGCACCTCACTCAGGGTTTCAATACTCTCATTCTGCACAAACTTTCAGAATCACATGGGAGCACGGTTCCTTTCAAACCCTAGGCAACTCAGTTTCTGAATAAAATTATCACCAAACAACAGGATGAAAAAACCACATGATCAACAAGATGATACCTTTGTCTTTCCAAAACAAGGTATGTGCCTAGTATAATCTCAAGCAAAATTTACCTCAGACAAGTAGCTCAGGTATAGCTCATTATCACACCCACTCCATTTAAAAACCATAGCTGTAATTTTAACCTGTAATTTTAATGAATGTAACATGCTGGATATTAGACAATATGTGGTACTTTACCTCCTCCATTCCCAATGGAAGTACTTCTTGTGAACTATTTTAATTCCTTGGACTTCTTTAATTGAACTTGTAAAAACGCTACCTCTTTTATCACTTAGCACCTCTAGTCTCTTTAGCAGTATATTGCATAAATAATGATTTTATGAGATGGAGCCAGGGGAGATGAAGAGTCTAGCAAATATCATGAAATTATATGAACTTCATTTAAATAAATTTGAAGCAGAAATGCTTATTTTATTTTTGAAGGCATGTCAAAGGTTCTTTGGTTACATGACTAGCATTTAAACATCCACTATCAAGTAACTCAGCAAATGACTGGGAACACCTAAGAGACCCTTTACAGACACATACATTAAGTACCATGCCTTCACTATCAGGTGTTTGCTTAGGAGGAAGTGTAGCATAGCTCGAATGACTCTGAGAACTTGGCCAAAATCAATTCCCTGCAACCGCAGTGGAGCCTGTGATTGCTTCTAACCAGGCAAGGATGGAGCAGCTCTAATGGAAATTTTAAAATCAAGCTCAGGAATTAATCTAAGATTACAAACAGCAGCAGCATTGCCTTAGTTTAAAGCATTTTAGATGTGGGTCTTTAATTTTTTTTAAAGGTGGTTTTTGTTCATCTGACATAGTTACATGTTGTTCTTTTTAAAAAATATTTCTATAATTAACTTAATTTCACATATCAGCCACAGATTCCCCCGTCCTCCCTCCTCCCACCCCCAATCCCTCCTCCAAATCTACCCCCCATTCCTACCTCCTCCAAGGCAAGGTCTCCTCACTGGGGAGTCAGCCCAGCCTGGCAGACTCAGCCTAGGCAGGTCCAGTCCCCTCCTCCCTACACCAAGGCTGAGCAAAGTGTCCCTCCCAGCATAGGCCCCAGGCTCCAAAAAGCCAGCCCATGTACCAAGGACAGGTTCTTAAGCTTCATTCATGCCAATAGATGGAAACATATTGTATTATAGTTCCATGTGTCTGGATATCCATAAAAACATTCTTCTTTGAGCCATTAACCTATAATACTATTTTACCTCAAAACTCCCTAGAAGCTATCAAGGCGAAATCAGCGGGGTTTAAATTAATGCACACTGCACAATTAGACAGGAAAAAGAAGCCACTGAGGTTGCAGAAGTGACCTTACACACCCGTGAAATGAAGGTCCTTTACATCCATCGTCTGATGTGTGGTTGTTGCTATTGGTGGTAGCCAGAGAGCAGAAGTTCGTGAGCTGCCTGACAGAGCTGCCGAGTCCCAAACTCTCTTAATCAGCAATCCAGCCTCTCAGTCCTACCCTCAGATTTTAATCATAAACTTCTGAGGTGGAATTCAGAAAAAAAACCACCTTTTTCACATGCTTCAAGGTGACACCGCTGTAACTATTTTGTGTATAGTACTTGAGAAATACCTCAGTCTGAGCAGAGACCAGCGTTTGTAGTGTGGTTAGCACATCAGACTTAGAAGAAGAACAGAGTGAACAGGAACAACCCCCAACCCCCCTTTCCTCCATCTATAAACAGAATGTGTCCACCAAGGACAAGGATGCTCTGTTGAGGACTTACGCACACTCCAACCTCAGGAAATCACCACCCCTGTTCAGAGGCACACTTTGCTTCAGAAGCTCCAGAACAAGAGAAGCTAAGCACTCACGTTAGCCTGGATGATGACGTAGTAGCGAGTCTTATCCTCATAGTTGAGTCGTTTCCTCAGCACCACATTTCCCGTCAACATGAGTGGGATTTCAAAGGTGTCGTTGGATGTCTGCAAACGTTAAATGTACAAACTTCAGACCAGTTGTGTACATGAACTGTGTAGCTTGACCTTGAGGTTCAGCCCTCTCCAACACTGGGGCTAGCAGGTTTATAGTTTGAGAATAAAGCATGAGTGTTGACTTCAGACCTGTCACTCTTATTTATCAAAGTGATTGATGGTTATCTCCGAGTTCCCTCAGAGTCCTTTGAATATGATGACTTTTCATAGTTTTTCATGTATTATTAGATCCATAAATCTAGACTGGCTTTTAACCAAGTCTATGAATATGAAAGAAAAAACTTACCTTAATATCATATTATCTTTGCCATTTGGTTTTGCACAAAAGAGTTCAAACGTTTTCAATTTATAATTTCTACTGAATTTCACTTTTCAACACTAGTATTTACTTTGTATTTGAAGTATTTTTTCACTTAAAAAAATGGTGTATTATTATAAACTAATATGGGAGCCAGTGAGATGCCTCAGTAGGTAAATGCTTGTAGCCACACCTGGAGACCAGACTAACCTGAACTCACATGGTTCACATGATGGAAGAAGGGAACTGATTTCCTCTCGTCACTCACTTCACTTACACACACACACACACACACACACACACACACACACACACACACACACGCATGCACTAACAATGTAATAAAAAAAAAGGTTTAAAGGAAAAGACCAAGACGATGACTCAGAGGTTAAGGGCTCCTGATGTCAAGCCAAGCCTCAGGGACCTGACTTTGATGCCTGGAACAGAGTCCCTGAAATTGTCTTCTGACTCACATACACACACATAACAAATAAACAAAAAACATAATTATAAAACAACTGCAATAGAGTAATCTTGGATGTGGCTTAATATGTTAGACTTTGCAACTTCTGGCTACGCACTCAGCTTCTCCCAGCAGAAACATTCAGGGAGAAGGACAACCTCTGGGAATGTTCAGAATCCCTACTCTGTTTGTCAGCCCTCACAGGAGGGGAGAACTTCACAGCCTAGGGTCTTAGCCTTAGAAGGCTTCTGTGGTTCTAGTTGCCACTGTGGAGAAGGAGTGGCAATTTCCTCAGGAACTGTATAAGTTCCCTCTCTTTCTGCCCCTCCAACTGATTCTCAAGGGCTTGATTTGTGACTCTGTTGAGCAGTTTCTTCAGTACAGGTTAACGAAAGCAGCTTCTGCAGGGAGAGTCAGCCTACAGGGCTCAGGAAACCCACAAGACTAACCTGCCTTCCCAGAGTCTGCCTAAGCAGCAAATACCTAGTTGAAAAGAAGACTCATCATGGTGTAGCTCCTGCAGGTCAGGAACCAGGCTCCAGTTTTGTGACTTTCCTGAGTCCTCATCCATGCTGGCTTGGGGAAGTTTTCAGAGATGCAGCTGCTCCAGTCAGCCATACTTCTATAAATTACCCCTCACCTGTTCACCCAATCAATTCCCCAAGCTGAGCTTGAGTGAAATTGTCTGTTTGGCCTGTGAATAGCCAGTTAGTGCTGAATATAAATAGATTTCTCATGGAAGGTCACCCGAGCAAGGGAAGGATTATTTGGCTTGGATCAACCATAGAATGTTCCAAAGAAAGGAAGAAGAGAAAGAGGATGAGGATGATTAGGAGAAAGAACAGGAGGTTAAGAAGGCAAGAGGAAGTCTCTCCCCTCCACTCAGCATCAGTGTGGTCATAACTCACTACAGCAGTGACCTAATCTAAGCACCTATTCAGTTATGACGAGGAAAGACTTACCAATACTGCAAATTATGCTGAAAAACATATTAGTGTGTTAGTCTAAGGTTATTACATTTCAGTGACTCAATAACTATAGAGACAGGTTTTCAGTAAACATGTACTTATACACATACATGCATATACACATACACACATAGACATACACACAAATACACACACATACACAATGAATACACATTTACACACACATCCTCATATACATACATAATACATTCACACACACACACACACACCCCACACACACTGTCAGATGCTTCACCTAAAGCTTCCTCATCCCTGGACTCAGAATTCAAAGCTTAGCTATTCCACATCTTTGTGCTTCTGGGGAGGTGATGTCTCTAAGTAGGATGATCCTTGACTAATTCAATTCAGCCACGGTAATGCCATTTTTTTCAACAATTTTTTTTTATATGCCATTCAATCCTGGGCAATGAAGAAGACACTCTCTTAAATAGAAAGAGAGGTGAGTGATGCAAAAACAAATTCCCTCTCCTGCTTTGGGATGTTGTCAGGAGATGAGACCTGAATGAACCTCTACAGCCAATTAGTGAGAATTACTGAAGCTATTTAGAAGTTGCTAACATGCTAACAAAGTCTGAGGGTAAAATTGGAATTTGAGTTTTGTCTGTGAGGTTTTAGACACATCCAGATGTTTACCACACCTTTGAGGGATGATAAATCATGTTTTGGGTTGGACATCTTTATTTCTGGTTTCTAACTTTCACAACTGGAAACCTTTGCCTCTTGATGATTTCTGTCTCTGCCTACTGTGGTCTGTGTATCTTTCCATGTGGACTGTGGCTCCCTATGCTTGCCATCTGTTCCTGTTTTTTAAAATTGCCTAAGCAATATATCCTTTGTTTTTCCTCATAGTTAAATGTCCAATACCCTACTCTGAAATCTTCTTTGTCTTCTCATTTCAGATTAAGATTTTGAAGTGATAATGTATTATTCTTTTTCCCAAAGGAAGCATTTATATTTTTGTTTTACCTCACAGATTCTTCCTGGCCTGAGACTTGAAAGCAACTCCTCCATCAACATAACGTAATAATATCTGTAATCTTTCCCCATTGTTGTTACTAACAGTTTTCATTAAAATTTTGTAGACTTATTACAAACAATGACATTAGTAGCCATGTTATTGTCATTAAAAGTCCTTTTCAATTGAATTTAAGTCCTATAGCTATATCTAACTATCACATATATGAGATTTTTGCTTTTTATTTGTTTTATAAATACTTGCATTTCAAAAAAACAAAAGGGAAAGTATTTGCTTTATAATCAAGCTGCTTCTGAATGACAGGGACTGGGACACTTCTATACTATTGTCATTAATTATTTAATTAAACAAGTAGTTTTTGAGTATAAATTTGTTTTCTAAACTTCAGAATTCTAATAAAAGTTTTAGAAACAAAGTGCAGGCTGTATATTCAGGACACTCTTCCTTCCTTCCTTCCTTCCTTCCTTCCTTCCTTCCTTCCTTCCTTCCTTCCTCTTTCCTTCCTTCCTTCCTTCCTTCCTTCCTTCCTTCCTCTTTCCTTCCTTCCTTCCTTCCTTCCTTCTTTTCTTCCTTCCAATTAGAAGCATATTTGACTAAATCAACTCTAAAAAAAAAATGCCTTAATTAGCAAGGTTTGGTAAGCAAACACTGTTTGTTTTAATGTGTTACAAATGGGCTGTGAGGGAACTGGGAACCCACACTTCATTTACAGTGCCTGAGAGGACAGAAGAGGTGGACATCAGACTTCAGTTTCTGGTATCTACACCTTGAGTGTCGCAGAACATCAGGTGACCCGATTGATGCTGATGGACATGGTTAAGATCTACTTGAGAAGCAGTGAGCAGGGAGATGACAGGAGTGACCGCTATGGCACTTGATCTGTTCACTGATTTCTTTGCTCAGAGGTTAGGCCCAGAAAGAAAGAGTTGTGGAGACAGAACCACACCCAATCCAGAGCAGTGTTATATTTGTGAGGCAAAGCCACTGTCTCTCTATCAGCTTTAGGAACTTCTCTGTAAGCACAAAGAGTGTTGGAAACTTCAATGTTTACCTCCCGCTCCATATTAAAGAAGAAAATCCTGCCGAAAAATCTGTTAATGCCCGCTGGTTCAAAAACATCTGCCCAGCACTCACAGAGGTATACACTTAAACACCTGACACTTCAGTAACTTCACAGTTATCAGACAAAAGGCCATCCTCCATTTAAGATAGGTCAAACAATTACGTCACCACTCTGGAAAGATATCAAAGATGGCAGGAAGGGCAGGTAGAATTCCTAGCCCATGTATACACACCCTTCAAGAAGGGAGGGGGAGGGCTATTGCCATTCCAGAAACTCTGGTCTCAGGGCTGACCCAACCCCATGAACTTAGGTGCCATGGCAACCGAGCTGAATATCTCCATGGAGACAGATGCTCTGGAAGCAGGAGGTACCTAGCCTTCCTCTGCCCCCTGTTTAGAGCTCTGGACATTCATCTTTTCTAAAGATAAATAATAGATTATATGATACTCTTATACATGTGTAATACTAAAAAAATCATTTGTTATATCCCCATTTGTATTTATGTTAGAAATACAGAAGGGAAGTCCGCACAAAGACAGGGACACACACGTGCACCTAGGTCCCGTTGACACCGAAGAGCAGCTGAGCACAGGTGTACCTAGGAGGACCAGTAACTGAAGTGCTGTGGAAGGCAAGGAATACCCCGGCTCTTAGAAGCTTTTTCTTGCTAATCTCACAAATGTTTTAAAAGCTCTCCCCACACCCCAACCATTACTGCTTGATGGGGACATAATGGAATGGTGGTACCCTCATAAAATTTGCTTCTACCCAAAGCATCATCATCCTTTCTCTTGTATATAAAGTGGTGAATGGACATCTCCGAGTCCGCTGTCTTTACTCAGTTTGTTTCTAACAGAAGACACAGCCCAGGACAGATTTGAAGATTCAAAGTCTCTAGTTCCGATAACAGTTGTGACACAGCAGGTCTCAGCATGTCAGTACAGATCCTCGGTGGAATTAGATAGGCTGAAGGGATGATGAACTGCTCTCGGTTGTTCAGATTTTAAAAGATTCAGTCATTGCTGCATCACACTATTTTTTTTTTTAAGAAAAACTGGGGTGGTCCAAAACAAACACAAGGGAAAGTACTCATTTACTGAAAACATGACTCCTATGTGGCCCAATTCACCAATTCACATACGCACCGCCATTAACTGGGAAGAGAAACAAAGCCAAGATATTTCAAAGGACAGAGAGAGAGAGAGAGAGAGAGAGAGAGAGAGAGAGAGAGAGAGAGAGAGAGAGAGAATGAGGTAGGTACATTTTCTTATTTTTTAATTAACCGAGGGAAGGCTGCCATCAGCATTACTCTGAGACACTTCAAGTCTGATAGAGGTCCTGGAATATTCATCAACAGAAACACAGAGGCACTGATTTCAAGACAATAATATCTGATGAGGGCAAGGGAGGAAATATTGGAAAGAGGCTTGAGAGCGAAGGAGAAATTAAGAGTTGACTCTAAACCACACTTTCATAAAGCTCACTACCAGCAGATCAACTGAGAAAAGCGCACACTGAATGGGATGGGAGCTATGCTCACAGGAAAACTTGCAGATGGAGTTCCAAAAACATAGGCAGAATCAAGTGTTCCTCTACCATATAGGACTCACTATGCTCAGGATGGACTCCATAGCAACCTGTCATAACTGAGAAGGAGATGTTAACCTCATTTACGGGGACAATCAAATAAGCAGTATTATACTCAACACACAAAGTATTTATTCAATTATACAAATAGTCTATTATGACAGTTCCTGTGCTAAATGCATAAAGTGCTCACAACAAATAAAAAATGGGAAATCATCTTTGTATAGTATGCAAAGAAATTAAGACTCATGAAACACGGAGCATTTAGACACAAAGAATATAATACTTAAATTGTTTTCAAACATAAAAACAGATCATAGAAAAGAGTTAACAAAAGGTTGGACTTGCCTTAAAAAATGTAGCAGCCTTGAACACAGATAAATAGTTTGTAAACAAAAGATGAAAATATATTAGAAATGAATGAATGGAGCCCATGAACCCATGGAAAGACATCAAAATGCCTGGCATTCCTGTAACTAGGGTCTCAGAGGAGGAAGAGTTACAGGGAGTCAGAGAAACCAGTGTGTTCAACAGACAATGGCTGATTTAATTTAGGGATGCTATACACTCATTTCGAACAATGATCCTAAAAGAAGTAAACTATAAAGGAATACTTGAAATGCAAACATCACATCATTAAGCACTGAAATTAAATGAAAAAAAAAACCCTGAAAGTATATATATATGACACAGCACATGCTGGAAACCCAACTATATATGCGAATACTTCTCCTATCAGAAGCATGGATTAAAGTGATGTGCATGGCTAAAAGATTTGTATTCCTCCGTTACACTGTGCTGATCCACAGGACAGGGAACCTGACATAAGTTGGAAAGCAATGGAGTCCAGACCTACCATGCATGCACACTCAATGCCTCAGAGGTAGGAGTGGTACAGCCCAACACCAGAAGACTACTGCCATATTGGAAATCACACATTTCTCATGAAGGCAAAAAAAAAAAAAAAAAAAAGAAACACATTTTAGTGTGAAATTTCAAAGTATTTCCATTTTGGCTCAAAAATGTCTTAAGAGGACGTGTGGACAAATCTCTGAGTGTGTGAGTTGAACTGGGTTCCATTTCACAAATACCTGACGCCAGGATTAAAACTCTGACTTGAGGCATCAAGTGAAAGAGAACAAGCCAATTTGTATATTTTCTCTGTGCTGTGTAGCTTGAGACTAATTTAAAATTATAATTGTTTGGACATTTAGAAATAAGCAGATTGTTATAAGGATATTTATTAATAGCTAGAGGATTCACAGTGGCAGAAAATAAAATCACCGCTCAGCTCTGCCACAGATCTCTCAACAGAATACAACTGGAGCTGAGGGCAACACTAAATGTATAGGATGATTAAAAGCAGGTTCTCTACAATATGCCCTAGGGATCCTGGGAGATGGCTCAGTGAGTAAAGTGCTTGCCATAAAAGCGTGAAGATATGAGTTCAAATCCCCAGAACCCATTTGAAACCATATGCAGCAACACCGGCTTGTAAACCCCATGTGTCTGCAGTGAGCTAGGAGGCAGAGGCAGAATGCCTTGGAGCTCCAGGGTTAGCTTCCTGAAGTACACATTGGTAATAAGAGACAGTGCCTCAGACATGGTGGGAGGTGAGACCCCACACCCAAGTTTCTCTCCCACCCTCCACATGTGTGCATGGTACACTCATGCCTACATCCGCGTGCGCACGCGCGCGCGCACACACACACACACACACACACACACACACACACACACACACACCTGGTTAACACAGTATATCAAGCTCAGAGTTTTCACAATATCTTAATAGTTTGCCCCAATGAACAGGACCTCAGCCCAGGCACGTTCTGCAGTTATCGACAGTAGTAGGGCTGTCAATGGTGAAAGTTGGGTTGCTTTGTAATTTTGAGACTCTGTAGCTGAATGATTTATCCATCTGTAGGTTGTAAGAGGCACATAATTGATCTTAGTAGCAGAACAGCTAATCCCTGTAAGGGAAATCGGTCAAAGAGGAGATTTTCACTGTGAGGAAGGAACCTGGCTTCCCAGAACTTCTGAAGGGCAGCTGCCGAGTAACGCACGGCTGTCTCAAGCTGCAACTAAACCTTGGATGTTCTTTTCAATGCAATAAATATTTCTTTAAAATGCATGGGTTGGCTCTTCGGTGTCAGCTGTGTTCTGCTTTTACAGCTTGATCCCAAAGACTAGGGAAAGACTGTTGGTTAGGCTGTAAGAGTGCCATGCACACAGTTATTTAGGAAAACCCACAGAAGAAACAGCAAATGGCTTGGAAAAGCCATGTGCATGTGGTCTTCCTACCGCTGAAGGGAAGGAGTGGTTCTCACCCTTGACTGGTCAGATTCATGCTCCTCACACCATTTCCTACACACCGCTTCACAGCAACTGATCATTGCCGGGTTCCCCATCGCTTGGCTTCATGCCCTATGCCTACACACCTGTTCAGCGGTTCCTTTTTAGGGGAAACAAAAACAAACTCCACATTTCTAAAGCCTTCCCTTGACCTTGTTATCTTCCTGAGATTTTGTATGTAGTTAGGTTTCAAAACAGGTCACCAGCAGCCACCTCATTAGCACACAATGAAAAGCCCACTCCTCAGAAATGAGGCTTTGTATTCCCAAACATGAGGAAGACATTTTCCCCTCAGAACCTGGTTTTCTCTCCTGAACTACCTAATCTAAGAGAAGAAAGCCCACAGGGAAGATGCCCCAATTACTTATCTGATACCAACTGGTCAGCTCTGAAGTCATGTACATACAAGTAACATTATATGGACTGAAGGACTGAGAAGGTTGTAATTATATTTAGGAACATAAACATACATGTGTATGTGTATGTGTGTGTTTGCAGGTGTGTGTAACAAGAATTTAAAAGGGGGGCATGAATTTGAGATAGAACAGGGTAAAGAAATGGGAGGGGTGGGGGAGAGAAAAGGGAAAGGGAAATTGGGCATTCTATTTTAATTGCAAAACATTTAAAATATTTTTAAAAATGCAGATGTGTGGACACTCAGTGTGTGTCATTAATTTAATTTTCATAATTCACGATAGCTGGACCTCAATTTGAGTCTGCACTCTGCAGGCCCAAAGATTTACTCCTCTTTCTTCAGGTTTGTATAAAGCTTTGTAAGGAGTGCAGGTCTGAGCAACGGGGAAGTGATGTTAACTGCACTGCATTTTATATTCTTAGTGCAATTGTGAAAGAGAAGTGTGACATCAGAAATTCACATGACAAGTAGTTTTTACTGTTTTGGGAAACACAATATATGGATTTATGAATCAGGAGTTATGAATAAGTACTCAGGTTGCGTTTTGCTTTTCTTCCTTGTTTTTTCCCTTTGTTCTTTTTATTAAAAATAGATTATTCTCTCATACAGTACACTTGACAACAGTTTCCCCTCCCTCCACTCCTCTCAGCTTCCTCCCAGTTCCCCACTCCCCCAGTTTCCCTTCAGAAAAGAGCAGGCCTCTAAGAGACAGCAACCAAACACACACACACACACACACACACACACACACACACACACACACACACACACACACACAAACAAGATGCAATGAGATAAGGCAAAAGCCCTCATATCGAGGCTGAACAATCAGAGGAAAAGAGTCCCAAGGGCAGGCAAAGAGGCAGAGACACGCCCACTCCCACTGTCAGAAGTCCCTCCAAACATCAAGCCAACAACCATAACATGTATACAGAGGACCTAGCACAGACCCACACAGGCCCTGTGCACGCTTGCTGCTTCAGTCTCTGTGGGAACCCGTGGGAGCCCTGCTTAGTTGGCTCTGTGTACCATGCTCGTCTGGACTTTTCAGTTAAAGAATTCCGAAATTATATAACAAGTCACTTGAAACAAATCATTTCATGGCTAAAACCATTAGAAAACCAACATCGATATCCTCTGGTTTAAAACAACAAACCAACCCTCCTCCCAAACCACAGAGGCCATTGCTAGAAGCTGTGCCTTGCTCTGTCTCAGGTCCATGGTGGCCCAGATGGGGCATTAGGGCCATTGTATACCAGAAACACACGTCCTTGTGCTTTCCATGTATGATGGCAGCAGTAAGATTATTTGCATGCCTTCTAAGCTGGGCCCTATCTTGTCTGTGTCATTCTGTACTGTCACCAGTGATTCACTTAGAAGGTTCTGGAGTTCAGTGTAATGGAAATTTAGCAAAAAACAAACAAACATAAAGGTGTTTTATTGCATTATATCTATTTCCAAAATAAGCTTTTATAAAAGAGCCATCAATATTAAGAATAGTACAACTAGGGGATAATTTAATAATTGTACCAGCTAAAGCAGCTACCTATTACATGCTTCACAACAAACACAAACATGAGTACCTACCGGATCTTCTGGGTTGTACTGAATGACGTACTCTATCTGTCCATTGGGGCCATCATCAATGTCTGTAGCTCCATTGTCTCCTGAAAATCCTGTGAATATTGTGGTGCCAACTGGAGTGAGCTGAAAAGAAAAATGAAAGAAAAACTGTTTGTTCTCCTTTGATCATCTGTACAAGGCTTCCAGATTAAAAACTGTCTCTCCGTGACACAGAAGAAGAGAGAAGTCAGCTGCTCAAATCACAGACTCGTAGCACTAAGAATAAATAGGTAAAATCTGTGTGGTCCTCACACAAGAGTCCTTACATGTGTGAAGTTTACAACGTCAAGATCGTGATTGGATAAAGAAACAGAAAGTTCAGAGAAAAGCACATTTGGACCATTTTGATTCCATTAGCCACTCAGCACCTGTGGAGAAAAATGCATCTGTTTCCTTTCTTAAAAGTTTTAATGCGTTAAGTTATTTGCAAGCTAGAATTTAAATTGAAGTTGGGGTTTTTATTTTAAAATAAGAAATCATTTGAGAGAGTCAGGAAATCCAGGTTGGTAATGCATGCAAAAGGTAGGTTAACAAATAGCTGCTTGGATGCTCAAATCTACTCCCCTAGCAGAAGCCTTCCTTTATATTTCTCTGGGTATTTTAAAAACGATACACTTAGTGACAAAGTCCAAAAACACTGAGTTTAAACTACTGGGAAGAGAATTCATTTATTTTTGCAATTGTAAGATTATTCCAGAGATTAATGTGATTTTTTTATGATTTTAATTCAGGATTTGATGTCATTCATATCACTTATGACAGATTATATTTGGTCATACTTTTTTTTTATTTTAGAAATTCAAGCAGAAATACTGTTCTACCAAAAAATTTATTAGTTTATATTTCTGAAAGGAAAAGGAGAGACAATAGCTTAGTTGTATCAACAGAGAAAAAGGGATAGGATTGCTATCCTGATACATAGAAAACATATCTTAAATAACATCTTAAGCTAATGTTTGAAGGAGATTTAAGTCCTAGAAAAACATTAAAAGCTGCAGTATAACAGATTTTGCCATTTTATTCCCTTCACACTACTCTCTCTGTTTATACTTACAGTAAGAATTCAATTGATCTCCAACTTTGGGAATGTTGGCAGCTTTAGTTCTCAGTGTGGGGGAGGAGCAGGTTTGGGCACAGCCATGTAATCACAAAGCTCAGCATCGCACAGATGAATGAGCTCGGCTCTGTTCCCTCTTCTTGTGTGAGTAGTAAACATCTTAGTGTAGATGGCCCCTGCTCATTTTTACTGTTATAGCACACTAGCATGCACAGGTGTGCACTCATACATGCAATAGTGCAGTCATTTATGATCTGCTGGTGACAGACCTGCCCAACAAATGTTTGAAGTTGATAGAAGAGCAGTATCTGGGAATAAGGTGTGGAGGCTCTCAGTGAATGTACACCAGTGAAAATCTGCACTACATGTAAATAAATGGAATAAGGTGGTGAGATGCAAAATTAAAAAAAAAAAAACTAATAGACTTTAAGGCTAGGGAGGTAGCTCAATGGCTAATTAGCTTGCCATTCAAGCCAGAGGATTTTCACAGCCCAGGCAAATAATCTGCAGGTGTTGCAGTGACAGAGAAGGGGATCCCATTAGCAAGCTGATAAACAAATAGGTCTGTGTAGTCTCTAGGTTTGATTGAGAGAGTCTTCCTCAAAGAATATGGTAGAGAACAATTCAAGAACATGGTAGTCTCCAGCTTCAGGTCTCCACAGGCAAGTTCATTTGTGCATGTGCAAACACCGCCCCCCTCCCACACACACCACATCCACCACAAACACCATATGCATACACACAAAAAGAAGAAAAAGACAAAATAAATTAGTAGACTTCAACATGTAATTTAATATTCCTTGTATTTATTCCCACCAGAAAATTGCTCCTATCTTTGTAGCTACATGCCTGTGTACATGTGGCCTGTAGGTATGAGGATACAAGCATATCCCCATGATGTATGCCTGCACTAGAAATATGCTTCTATGTCTGTAGGTTTGCCTATGTACATGTGTCATATGAGTGTGAATGATATGCTTATCTTCATGTGAACTTTTCTTATTGAGGCACAATTGATGATACTTTGTAAACTTCTGAGTATCCTGTGGGTGTGGGGCCCCCAAGACTGCCTGCTCTTGCTGGGCATAGTAGTGCATGTCTTTAATCCCATCACCCAGAGGAGGCAGGCTGATCTCTGTGAGTTCGAGGCCAGCCTGGTCTACAGAGCGAGTTCTAGGACAGCCAGGGCTACACAGAGAAACCCTGTCTCGAAAAACAAACAAATAAAACAAACAACAACAATAACAAAGACTGTCTGCTCTTTTGTAGTCTATACTTTGTGGTATTTATAGTTTTGGGGCACATCTGCTACAAAAATAAGTATGTTCTATATCTTTTTATATTTCAATATGTCACATTCAAATCTGGTTTTTGAAGAGCCCTATATACAATAAGACTAGACTGTGAAAATGCCTGAGGTTGCCATTTACTTATTTAATTTGTGTCTTTCCCCACAAATCATTTACACAGCTATCTGAAGGTTCATAAACTATACAGATCAATTGAAAATCAAAAGTTATCAAAAATCACTACCCAGAAAGTAAAATAGTTTATGGAGTTTCAATAGGGAAAAGGTTTCTGGCATAAATAAATGATAAATGCCTCAGGAGACAAGCAAGTTTAGGCTGTTTGAAATGTTATATAAATGGTACATGTGTGTAAAACTCAGGTCGGAGTGCATCAGTAGGTGCAATTTTGTTGACATATATGTTTCTTACTTAATAAACAGAGCATTGTTTCCATATGCTATGGCTAAATGGAACTTTGTTTTGATTTGTAAAGTCATTTTTTTTAAAGTTAAGCAATTGTCTTATTTAATGAACAGTTAAAAGCATTAGAGTGTAAACACAATATTAGTTATTCTGTTTATTATGCAGATATCATATGACACATATCTCCTTTTACCAGCCTAAATTGATTTTGATCAAAAGTCTCAAAGAGAATATTTACCTTCACTAATCTCACTTGATTTCCCCCAGAGAATCACTGTGTTCATTGCTTGATTTATATTTTTGTACAGTTATGATTTCATTATATGTGGGTCTTAAGTTGCATAAAATTACTGTGAATGCTGAAGTAAAGAACAATAACTTTGGAGCCCCGAGCAATATAGGACCAGTGTGCAAGTCTCCGCTCACACACCTTGATCTAGCTAGCCAATATAAAATCTTCCTTACTCACTTCTCTGTGAAGAAATTGGATGTGCAGCATTGATTCGCTAACACAGTAACAGCACAAGCAATGTCTGAATGAGACTGATGTCACATCCACATTTTCTCTGCAAGTCTCATTCTCTCTTCTTTTGCGTGGGGACAGTGGGAAGCATATGACATCAGCACTTAACAGGCATTTTAAGCAACAAAACCGCCAACAAATCATCAGGAAATGTGAAGAAAAAAAAGAGTCACACTCAGTGAACTGTAAATACAATTTCAGGTAGCATGACAGAAGTATAAGATGGCAGAGGCTGGGGCTGCACAACCCTGCACATGCATGGGTCCTTTCCTGGGTAGCTTCTTCCCTCTCCTGCCCCTCCCCTAGCACATCACCATCTGTAAATGCACAAATCTAGTTCCAAACCTGCAGCTGGGAACCCTTTTCATGTGAGAATCATTTGCCTGGTGTCTTCATTAGGGTTTCTATGCTGTGAAGAGACACCATGACCAAAGAGCAAGTTGGGGAGAAAAGGATTTATTTAGCTTACACTTCAGCATTTGCTGCTCATCACTGAAGGAAGTCAGGGCAGAAACTCAAACAGGGTAATATCCCTGAAGCAGGAGCTGATAGCAGAGACCATGGAGGAGAACTGCTTATTGGCTTACTTATCATGGCCTGCTTAGCCTGCTTTCTTATAGAACCCAGGACCACCTGCCCAGGGAAGGCACCACCCACCAGAGGGTGGGTCCTTCTCCATTGATCACTAGTTGAGAAAATGCTTAACAGCTGGATCTCATGGAGGCATTGCCTCAACTGAGGCTCCTTCCTCCCAGATGACTCTAGCTTGCGTCAAGTTGACACAGAAAACCAGTCAGTAAGTCTCTTACCTGGGAACTCTCTCCTCCCTTTTGGTACCCCTTTCCCTCCATCCCACTATGATGGACAAACCGAGGAAACGAGTTCTAGACAAGGGCCCCCTGAGCCCTTTCTGCTCCTGAGACAGCTTTGCTGGCTAAGTTGATCTCTCCCTTCCCCAATGTTACCCCTGCCTGTGACCATCTCCACACAGGCCAGCTCCAGATCAGTGGCCTTTGAGCCTTTTTTCAAGGACCATCTTTGACCAGTGAGATATTCCTTTCCTCTCCCATCTCTCCCTTTGCCAATGCCATCTCTGCACCCACAGACATAGCTCCAGTCTCCTGGTTTGAGAGTCTTCTTGGCCTGGGCCAGCTAAACAGCTCACTCACCAGCTTCATATGATCTAGTTTAGGTCATATAGCCCGTGCACTGGCCTAGTCCAAGGAAAGCCAAATTATCACATCAGAAACACAACCAAAGAAACAAGTCCACATGCTCAGGTCAAATTGCAAAATAACATGACACCCAATTTCATAAAAAGCACAGTAATGGAATTATAGACACAGATTAACAGATACTCAATAACAGTAGGCCATTTCAACATCCAAACAGATATTTCTCCAATAGATAAGTCATCTGGACAAAACAAAGTGAAACCTAAGAATTAAATGACATCTTACATCAAATGAACCTAGCAAATATCTACAAAATGCTCCACCCAACAACAAAGAATACACATTTTACTCAGCAGCACACAGACGCTCCTCTAAAATAGACAACATCCTGAGATAGAAAACAAAGCAACAAACACAGCAAATAGAGAAAAACAGAAATCATTCCATATGTCTTATCCAAACATTATGCAATAAGACATAAAATCAACACCAAGCACAAGCCCAGTAAGTATAAACCTGTAGAGATTAAACAATACATTACTAAATGATAAATGAATCAAAGAAGAAACCAAGAGAGGAATAAAAATATTCATGAAACTGAAAACATACCACCACTA